TTTTAATTATTAAATGACAAAAATAAATTAATTTTAAATATGTCGAGATAAAAATTCGACCACCGCTTTTTTAAGCCGGTCTAGATAGTTAGGATCTTCTATTGAATTCATTTTATGTCGTTCCCAATACTTCAAAAACCCACGGTGAACCGATTCTCCTGCCTGTTCAGACCAAAGACCCAAAACCAAAACCACCAGGTACTTAATATCCTTTTTCAAAAAATGCAGCGAATGCTGTATATGTTCCAGACAAACGTGAATTTTCAAGCTCTCGGATACGCCCACAGCCTCAAACGCTTTCCGAAAAGCTTTAATCCGCTTATCAATTTCAAGAGAGGCAATGTTGGTAGAAAATGAGCTTTCGACGACTTTATTCATTGCTTTGAACGCCGACACGTATTTCATAATTCCAAATACACCTACTTTAATAATAATAAAATAAATAATTCTTTATTCGTCCCAAAAAACATATAAAGGATAGTTTATAGAGGGACACCTCTATATACACATTATAATTCAGTACATATTTACATTAACAATTGTCATACACAATTCTTATAGTTACTTAAATACACTATACACATATATATTTACATATACATTTATCACTAATACAGTCATTATTAAATATCACAGATATACTTAAAATAAATAAAGCAAGCTTTAACCTCAACTTAAGTTTTTTTTTTTTTTTTTTTTTTTCTTCAGTCTTTTTTAGTCCTCCCTGTAATATTGAATATAATCATTTATGTTTTTTTTAAATTTGTGACCTTTAAAATTTTTAATGCTGTTAGGCAGCCTATTATATAAATGGACTCCCCTGTAGGAAATCGAGTTCATTCCCATTTGGGAATTTACTTGAGGTAGATTCACCTCTGCATTGGCTCTTGTCGAGTGATCATGAACATCATTTCTATAAGTGAACTTAAGACATGAGTGTCTTTTAGAATTAAGGACTTGATTTATAAACATACTTGTTTGATATTCATTAATACTTTTTATAGATCTAATTCTAAACAAGTTATAGAGGTCAGCTGTTGGATATCTTTTATCTAAAAAATATAAATTTTTTATGGCTTTATTTTGGAGTAATTTAAGTGGCTTAAGAGTCCAGTTAGATGCATTTGACCAAATAAGATTCAAGTATTGTAGGTGTGAGTGTATCAAGGAGAAGTAAATCGACCTCAAGTATTTCCGGGGGACAGTATACATTCTCCTAAGCACACCAATCGGACCGGCCACCTTTCCACACACATGACTCACATGATCTTTCCAGGAAAGCCTGTCATCGATTTTTAGGCCCAGGAACTTTGTATCCGTAACCCGCTTCAGCTCGAAAGCATCATTAACACATCGTTCTCTCTGGTTTTTATGAATATACATATACGATGACTTCCCATGTTCAGGGACAATTTATGGGAATTAACCCATTTTTTTAAAATTATCAAATCAGAAGCCATGGACTCGTTTACTTGCTCGATGGTGCGGCCATAGTATACTATGGTCGCATCATCAGCATACAACCTCAAATTTCCATTAAGTTTTAAGTTTGACATGGAATTTACGTAAACCAAAAAAAGTGTCGGCCCCAAGATTGAACCCTGGGGCACACCACATTTAATAGATTGTCTAGAGCTTTCTACTGAGTCCACAACAACATACTGCATTCTATCCGAAAGATAGTTTTCAAACCACCGCAAGCAAGAGTCCGTTACACCAATTAGCTCCAACTTCCGAAGCAAAATACCAAAATTTACAGTGTCAAATGCCTTTCGCTGGTCAAGCGACACGAGCGCGCATTTTAGGCCTTTATCCAGATTTAATTGTATTTCATTGATCATGTCAACTGCGGCCGAGCTCGTGTCACTTGACCCGCGAAAGCCATATTGACACGGAGACAAAAAGTTCAACTCTTCCAAGTGACCTGCAAGCCTACCATTAACCACTCGTTCCAGAATCTTAGCAAAGACTGATATTACACTTATTGGTCTATAGTTGTTTGCCTGATCCTTATCGCCTGACTTAAAAAGTGGAGTTACTCGTGAGATTTTCATTCCTTTTGGAACTGCGCCGGTCTTGAGTGACTTATTAATTATTTTACAAAGAATATGCTTTATTGCTTCACCACACTCTTTGACAGTTTTTATATCAATTTTATCATGACCTGCAGCTTTTGATGAGTCCAGTTTCACAATGATTTTTCCAATTTCTTCAGGGGTAACCTCATTAAATACCATTTTTATTGTGCTCTTGTTTTCTTGGTTTATAAGTAGAGGTTCATCCGGTATAGAACATGCCAGCTCTTCACTAATTTTTATAAAAAAGTTATTTATGTGATCTCCAATTTTCTTTTTGTCAGTTATAACTTCGTTACCATTTTTTACCCTTGAAATTGCTTCTTTACTTTTCTTGCAATTCCGGACAATTGAACTGATTAATTTCCATGTGTTTCTAACATTATTTTGGCTTTTTGTGAATTTTTCTTCATAAAATGCACGCTTTGCTTTTTGAACTTTGTCTCTTACTTTTTTTTTAGCATCTGTATGCATTTTTTTTAGGAAATTGTTATTGGAAAATTTTTTTTGCCTTTCAAAAAAATAGTCTCTTAGTTTGATTGCATTTAGAACTTCCATGTTAAACCATACTTTAGATTTTGGTCCAAACCTATTCTTTAACTTTTTATAGGTTGTATTTTTGTCAAAACAAGAGATTAAACTGCCGTAACTTTCGTCAATATTCTCTGTGTGATTGTAATTGGCATTTAATTCCAGCAATTCCTTTTTTAGTTCTTCTATATTGATAACTTTTTTTATGTAAACATTTTCACTTTTTTTTGCTTTGTTATTTATTGGTGATATCTGTAAAAATTGTAGATCATGGTCACTAATGCTGTTACCAATTATTGATAGATTAGTATCCTCAGTGGCAATGTTGCTTGTGAGTACATGATCAATAAGTGTTTTACTATGTTGTGATTGGGGATTACCTCTATTTACTTTGCGTACAGCTATCCTAGTGGGAATTGTTGTGTTCAAAATGCAAATATTATTTGAAATACAAGTATTTGTATACTCTTCTGCAAGCGTGGATGTTTTTAAAATGTTAATATTTAAGTCGCCCATTATTATACCTTTTTTGTTAGTAATATCAGCCAGTTCATTGTCCAGGAACTGCAAGGCAGCCTGCTTATTGTTATTGGGTGGTATATAGATTGCTCCAATATGGAGGTCACCTCCATGTAGCCTTATCATGGCAAGTGATGAGTCCATGTATTCAACAGTTTTCAAAACAGTAAACTCCAGGTCATTCCTAACAAAAATTGCTGCCCCTCCTCCCTTTTTTTTCCTACTTGAAAATACTGCTTTGAAATTTTCCAAATTATAGCAGTACTTCTCTGTTTCTGCAACCCATGTTTCAGCCATAATTATAATATCCACATTGTTGCCCATTTGATGGAGAATCAACTCAATACACTCCAATTTATTTTTCATTGACCTTGCATTTAAGTACAAAAGATTTAATGAAGGTTTTAAGGCAGTTTTATTCTCTAAGAAATTGTCAATATTATTATAGAAATTTACTTGAGCCATTGCATAAACTAAATTTATTTGTTGATATATATTAATATTTGGCTATTATTTTATTCTAATTCTTTTGCATCTACAGAAGTTGTCGGGGGTACTTCTGAAACTGTTGTCCGAATTTCATGGAGTAGCCGGTCAACTTCCTCCACACTCTTTATTCTTATAATTTTGGATTTTTCATCTTTTCTTACAAATATCTTTCCCTCCTTTTGCCACACATACTTGTAATTGTCACTTCCTTTTAATTCTCTTGTTTTGTTAAATAGTAGTCTGATATCTCTGTGCATATCCTCGTTGATGTATATTTTATGATTATCTCCAGCAATACCACATTCCTTTGTTTCCAATTTCCCTTTTTGTTTACGTGCTTGTAAAAGTTGATCACGTTGCTCTTTATTTGAGAAGGTGACCAAAACTGGCTTACTAGGATTTTTGCTGGGTATAAGTTTCACCAAAAAATCGTCTACCTTTAGTTTAAGTGTGTTCACAATCATTTTAACATTTGTTTTTGATTCCTCTACTGTTTTGGCATGAAGTCCAATAAACATGGCATTTTTATCCTTCTCCTCATCAATTCTGACAGATTTTTGTTTCATAAGATGCATCTGGTTTTGTATTTCTGCAAGTTGTTTCTTGATTGACTCGTTTTCTTTCTTGAGTGTTTTGTTTTCTTTACTAATATCTGAGAGTTTATTGTTTACCTTGTCAAGTGTTTCTCCATAGAAGGAAAAGGTACTTTCAAGTTCATTAAACTTTTTATCAAGTTTTTTATCCATTTCAGATATTCTTTGCATAATGTTATCCCAAGTTTTTTCTTTATTTATTGTCACTTTATGGGATTTTCTTTTTTTCTTTTTTCTTTTTAATACCTCATTTTCATTTGTTTCTAATTCTGAAAGTTCATCCTCAGAGTCCTCTTCAGAATCAGAATCATCGTCTTGCTCATTTTCCACACATTTTGCACATGTCCAATTTCTAGTAGTATCTGTGCACTGCTGATGCGCCCATTTGCCACATTGCTGGCATTGCAGCTTAATTTTTGATTTGCCCAGCGGTTTATTGCATATAAGGCACTCAAGCGGTTTCTTTTTTGTTGTTTTTTCTTTTGCCATTTTCCTTATAGATTTAACTATAGGTATATCCAAGTTACTTTGATAGTAGTATTTTAGTTGCTTAGGTGTTTTTTAATGCTTATTTTACTTTTAAAATAGATAATTTTACAGAGTAGAAACTTTTGAGGTTACTCTTCTTCTTCTTACAAAGTGGTCACTTCACCATAAATTTCTGGATCCAAGAGCATATCTGCTTCTTTTAGTAGCTTACGGCATGCACCTTCTTTATCTCTGACGGCATGCATTCCCTTCGAAAGTTTCGCCTTGATAGTTCTTTGCAACCAGTTTTAGTTTCTTTGGCCACTTAAGAGCCCGATCGCGACCTAATAATGACGTAGACTTCATCATCCTCTGGAAACAAAGGGGGATTTATTGTGCTATGGCAATCTCTCGCAAAATTTTTATTTTTTCCAAATGATCGAAATTTCTTGTAGCTATTTCTCAAGTCTCCATAGGTTTTCAACTTTAAACATTTCGCTGATGTTTCTTGAACACAAGCCTCATTACTTTCTCTATAGCTTTCAGAAGAAAAACATGTTTCTGTATCATTTTTTTCAGTCTCAACGGGATGTTCCTCAATTCCTCTCAAGGTTCTTAAAGATATGAAACATTACGGACAGGGATACGACGCTGTTGCCGTTTTCTGACCATTGACTATTAAAATAATTTTAAAATCTGCGACGAATTGAAGGAAACATTATTAATTTTAGTCAATTTAAAAAGCAAATCCATGTTTTCATATGTATCTTTTATCTGTGGCACAATACACAGCATTATTAATCTGTGCACCCCAGTCAATTTTCTTTTCCTGTTTACGCTTCCACCTTGGCTGTAAAGAGTTCTCTCCTTTTTGGATATGGACTCCACTTCATCCTCCTTATTTTCATGGATCGTATTGTCATCAGAATTATAATTTTCAGGCATAATTGTTAAGCAAATTTTGAAAAACCCTGTCCACCGGCCTCTTTGCTTTTTTGTTTCCCGCGTATTTACCTTCTATTTCAAACTCAAATTCATTAATTTTGTAGAGAGGCTCTAGAGCCGTAGATGTAGTAGACAAGTTCTTTTTGTAGCGGACAACTACCGACTTACGTCCAGCAGAGCAGCGTATAAAACTTGTAAGCAATTTCATCTGATTAGTTGAAGTCCCAGAAGCTACTTGATAATAGTACAGACCTTCAGATGAAAATTTTACGTCTTTTTTTACTTTAGAATTGACAGTCAATCGTTGCCTTTTGTAGCTAAGTTGATCGTTTTATTTTACAAAATTTGTTTTTACCAATTACTTGATTCGGATTTCGAGTGTGTCCTCGGCCCTTAATCAAATTTTCGTGTCCCTTGAATCTCGCAGTTAAGCAAATGTAACAATTGCTTTCTTCATTGCTTCTAGTGGCTTTTGGTAAACTTAAGACTCTGAGGGCAAGGCGACAAGTGGTGCAAATAGCAAGAAGAAAGCAGGGATCCATTATTTTAAAATTATTATTTATTAAATTAAATTTTAAGAAGTTTTGCAGTAACGTTCGCATTCTTGCATTAATTAGAAATTTTGAAGAATTAGTTTTTCCGAAAATAATCTTTCTTCCGCAGGCAGCACATACTTTTTCTGTTTTCTTCATGGCTACATTTTATTTTAGAGTAAGTTTTAATTTTTTTAATAAAACGGGTTAAAAATCACAACAATCCAGACACAAAACTAATTAATAAGAATTAACTTTGACATTTATTTGACATTTATTTTCATGGCCTCCACATGAGTATAATCTAAAACAATTTTGTAAACATAGGGAACAATAAAAAATCCATTAAATAAAAAATTATGATTTTTACCGAACTCAAACACAATTGGCTATTTTATCCATTGAGGATCAGGTGCGATTTTGTTTTCATTTGATCTTAACTCCTTTAATATTAGTCTTTAAAGATACGAAGCCCGATTTCGGTGTCATTTTAATGCAACCTTTTTTTTGTTCAGGCCCACTGTGTACCAGAGATAAAAAAGGGCACTACCTCTCAGGGATACCAACTTTTTGGTAGATCTACCCAAAGATGATATCTTTGGATCTACCTACCTACTTTTAGTGTCTTGCTCAAATCTACTACCAAAGAACTTTGCCTATAATAGTTATAGGTATATGGTAGGCTCCATGGTATGTTTATTATAATTTTTTTTAATGAAAATGTTTGGTTATAATCGAGGATATAACACATTTTTTATTTCTATTTTGTTACCCTTCGTTACTTTTTTTTATTTCTAAATAAATGCATTTTTTCCATATACCTACCTATAATAAGTTATAGGGTATATGATTTTTTGGACGTTATAAATAGTTTTATTTTAGTATCCTTTTCTGAAATTTGTAGAACAAAAATAGGTCTACTGAATTTTTGACGACATATTTACTGAAGGAATGAAAACCGAACTGGCAACAGTGTTGCCAGATATTTTAAAGTCGAGGCGCCAATTTTCGAGTGAGATATCGCCCAAAAGCGCCAATAAAATTGCAATCAGCGCCAACGTTAGATTGGTAAAATTAAAATGAAATTCTTGTAAGGGATAATTCGAAAAATGCATTAAAAATACTTAAACACACATTATTTATGAAATATACAAAAATAAATGTTTAATATTATTAAAAATAAATAAAGAAATAAATATTTGTTATTTTTAAAAATAAATAAATTTAAAAATGGCCTACTAGCATTTAAAATAATAAGGAATAGAAACTGTTCCTATAGGAACAGTTGATAATGAATATATTCATTATTATTGTGAATGCTAGTATACTATATAGCCTATAGGCTATATTTATTACTAATATTATTACTGTTAAGCCGGCTGCACAACAGCCCAGTAACGGAAAGGGGAAAAGTTAGCTGTACAATCAGAACTTATATTTAAATTTCAATTTCTTTTACTTGAATTCAAATTTTGATCGCACTCACCTCTAATTATAAAATTACATTTTTACACAGATACGTACTACCCAGTATATGTGTTTACACTACTTTAATGCGATCTATGATTATGATTTGTGGTGATCGCTGTTAATATCTATAAGTATTATATACAGGCAGCTGCAATCTGAAGATATATTTTAAGTAAAGTTTAATTCGAAGAATTTCCAAAAGAGCAATTTATTTTTTTCAGAAATCGCTCAAATTGCGGTTTGCGGTTTTAATTCGAGGTATTGCCAAAAGAGCAATTTTCTTTTTTCAGAAATCGCCCAACTTGCGGTTTGCGCTTTTTATAAAAAACTAGGCGCAAATTATTTCTTAAAACCGCCCAATTGGCGCTAAAGCGCCCAATCTGGCAGCACTGACTGGCAACCCTGCTCGTCAGTAATCTGTCAAACGTCAAATTTAAGTTTTGTTGTGCGTGTACCGTGTCATGTTATCTTATTTATTTGGTGTTTTTTTGTTTGTTGAAAAACCTAACTAACCATTCAAAAAAAATTTAATACTATAATAAACAATACTATACTATAATAAACAATGTGTAAATTATTGGTTTTCGTTTGTTTATCAGTTATTTTAAGTAAGGTTAGTTCCCAGGAGGAGGAATCTTGTCATTCATATGCTGGAGGAAATGTTTATCCTTTAGGAAGTAATCCTGTAAAAGCTGAGCACCTATTACAGTACACTAAAGCAGTGAGTAAGTAAAATAAATTTAAAGCATATGGTGTTTTTTTACTTTATCACCATAATTTTTAGTTTCAAAACCAGCTCCTGTGTGGGAAGGCACCGCTGTTATAGATGGTGAATTTAAACAGTTAAAATCAACAGACTTCCTTGGGAAATATTTAGTTTTTTTCTTTTACCCATTAGATTTGTAAGTTTGTATTTAAGCCCCTAAATTTCCCATCTAAATAACTATTTTTTTAGTACTTTTGTATGCCCCACTGAAATTTTAGCATTTAGTGATAGAATTGAAGAGTTTAGAAAATTGAATACTGAAGTTGTTGCTTGTTCTGTGGATTCACAATACACTCATTTAGCATGGATTAATACACCTAGAAAAGAGGGAGGTTTGGGTAAAATTAAAATACCACTTTTGGCTGATTTAAACAGAAATATCTCAAAGGATTATGGGGTATTTTTGGAACACTTGGGCCACAGCTTAAGGTAAATACCGATTTAAATAATTTAATTATTTAAGATAAAATATGTTTATATATATATATTTTTAGAGGTTTATTTATCATTGATGCTAAAGGAATATTAAGACAAATAACTATGAACGATTTACCAGTAGGAAGAAGTGTTGATGAGACTTTAAGATTGGTACAGGCTTTTCAGTTTACAGATTCTCATGGGGAAGTTTGTCCAGCTGGCTGGAAACCCGGACAAGATACTGTATGTATACTTTTATGTATTTTATTAACCTGTACTTTATGATTTTATTTTTTAGATTATTCCAAACCCTGTGGATAAAAGAAAATATTTTGAAAAGCACTAAATTGCAAAACATCACAAGAAGAAACCAAGAGACTATAAATATGTTTATTTACATCACATTCTAACTTATAATTTATACCTACTTGTAAAAAAGCCAGTAAATTTTATGAATAAAAAAGTAAAAGCTTTGATTTTTGATTTATATATGGGTCGTTACACGCCAAATTGACCTTTTTTATATTTTTTTATCCCACTAAAAAAAGATTTTTTGCAACCAACCAAAAAATATAAAAAAAATCAAAACTTTTTTAAAAATTGACTAAATGTGACGTTTTTTCTTATTTTGAATGTGGGTACTTTTAGAAAAAAAACACAAATTTTTCTGTCAAGTTCTAAACAATTTTTAAGTTTTTTAGATTAACTATCAATTTTTCAAATTCACCATTTTTATTTATTTTTTCCCAAAGTGGGCCTATTTTTTCTTTATATTTTTTTTTCATTGAAAAACTTTTTTATTTCTATAATAAAACCAATTTAAGTAGGTATATTTACTTAAGTATCCACTCTATATTTTACACTTGATTTATAATATAACCTAATAATTAATGATGGTTGCGTTTTTGTCCGAAATTTTTCGAATTTAAATGGGTAGGTATAAAATATGTTAATTATTTAAACGCCAAAAAATAGTTATTTATTGTAAGTAGCAAATAAAATATAAATAAATAAATGCGTAAATTGGTATAAAAAAATTATTGTTAATCAAATGAACTATATATAAATTCATAATATTTTTTTATGAGAAAATAAGTAAATGGTTGAAAAAAAAATTCAAAAATATTATTTTAATTAAAAAAAAAATAGAAAGAAAAGTCGGCCCACTCTGGATTTAGCTCCATTACTCGCAGAATAAATCGAGTTTTTTTATGAAAAAAATTAAAAATGCGAACTTTAAAAAACTGATTTTTTTTTAAAAAACGAAAAAATTTCATAGAATTTGACAATGTTGTATTTTTTACTGAAAAGAACAAACAATTTAAAAAACGCATTTGAAAAATTTGTAATTTATTTTTGGTTGCGTAAAAAAAACTGAGAAACTTTTTTAGTGGGGTAGGTAAAGATAAAAAAAATCGAAAGGTCGGGTTCAAACGTGGTAAATTTGGAGTGGAATTCCTTCTATGTAAAAGCAGTAGGAAAAATGCGAATTTGTACTTAATTAGGTATCAGGTCGTAAACCAAAGCCAATGACATCCTTTGTCTAAATTAGCCAAAATTAATGATTTAAGTTAAAAAGCAACTTAAATTATACAAAAATGCAATTTCGAAAATATCTACTAACTCTACTTTATTATTGCGCTCTTCTCTATCCTGTATTTTTTCAGGAAAATTAGATATTTCTTCTACTTTCGATAAATTTACTTTACTTTTTTCTAAACTATCTTGAGGTTTGATTTTTGACTTATTTATTTCCACTTTAATCTAAAAGAGAAGTTTACATCCCCAAGACTAATGAAACTTACCAAAAATTAGTTAGAGATATATCTATAACTAATTTTTGGTAAGTTTCATTAGTCTTGGGGATGTAAACTTCTCTTTTAGATTTACCTATACTCGCATCACTAATAGTTATTTTAGTTTTCCTTGACATTAAAACATTTATTTTATTTCCACTACTTTGTGAATGCGCTATAATCTCATTGAGTTTTTGTATTTTTTTTAAGCGCAGAGACATTTACATTTGTTTCCTGTTTTTTTGCTGTTGTCTCTACTTTCGGTTCTTTTGCACTTTCCTCCGTCATCGTTTTTATATTAATATATTAACTTTTAGGTGGTTCTTGTTTTTTTTTCTGAGAACTTTATATTAACTTTTAATATCTATTCTGGTTTTTTACCTTTTCTAGCCGTTAAAACATTTACTTTAGTATTTTCTTCAGGCTTTTTAGTTTCTTGGAATTAAAATATACACTTCAGGTTGTTCTTTTTTTTTAATAATATATATAATTTTGACTATTTATTTAAGGGACCAATCTATTGATTGTAAGTTATTTGTTACTTGAAATTTTTAGTTGCTTGGCCCACTGCAAAGGGATACTATTTTTCTTGCACTTTTTCTTGTAGCTTTTCTACGGGTTTATCTTTATTTGATATATCGACGTTTTCATCGTCCTCCAGCTCTTCCACGCCACTGACATTTGATCCTCTTTGCATTCTTCCTCAGTGTAAGAAGTGCCCAACTTGCCATGCTCAAAGGTGATCGATCAGGGCGCAAAATCCAAAGGAATATTAAGACATATAACTAGGAAGAAGTGTTGATGGAAATATTGGTACAGGCTTTTTAGTTTACAGAAAACCTGGACAGGATACTGTATGTATTCTTTTGTGGATCTTATTAACCTGTATTTTATGCCTTTATTTTTTAGATTATTTCAAACCCTGTGGATAAAAGAAAATATTCTGAAAAGCACTTAATTTCAAAACATCACAAGAAGGAACTAAAAGACTATAAATATGTTTATTTACATCACAGTTAACAATACATACTAACTTATAATTTATGCTTGTAACAAAGCCAGTCAATTTTATAAATAAAAAATTAAAAGCTTAAATTTATATTTTTAAAATACCTATGTAAAAGCAGTAAGAAAAATGCGACTTTTGTACTTAATTATCTAGTCGTAAACTAAAGCCAATGACATCCTTTGTCAAAATTAGCCAAAATTTAAGTTAAAAGTGATCAACACCAACTCAAATTATAAAAATATGTCATTACGAAAATATCTACAAACTCTACTTTAATATTGCGACTTAATTTTAAGTTTTAACTTTTTTAATTTTATTGTTTTCTTCATTCTTTGATTTCCTTTTTGACAATAACACTTTTTTTGCTTCAACACTAATTTTCTCTTCACTTACTATCTCAACATCACTGTCAACTTCTTTTTCTTTAGTTTCTTCTTTTTTCTTTATGCTAGGAGATTTAACCCATTTTTGAAGTAAAGATGATCCATTACTTTTAGGTGTTTTCTTAATTTTATTTTTTTGACCAGACTCAGTTTTTTTTAATGGAGTTATTCGTTTTGTAGTTATATTAAGTTTTGGATCCTTATTTTTTTCTTCAGATCTTGGGGTTTCTTCTTTATCCTGTATTTTGGTCATTAAAGTTTTTCTAGGAGAGTCAGATATTTCTTCTATTTTCGATAAATTTACTTTACTTTTATCTAAACTATTATTAGGTTTGATTTTTTTGGGCGTTGATTCCTTTATTTGAACCTCTTTTCCGTCAGGGGTAGACTCATTTATTTCCACTTTATCTATAACTACTTTTTTGGGGGTTTCATTAGTCTTGGGGATGTAAAAATCTTTTTTAGGTGTACCTATACTCGTATCACTGTTAGTTCTTTTAGTTTTTCTTGGCGTTAACACATTTATTTTATTTCTACTACTTGGTGAATGCGCTATAATTTCATTGGGTTTTTGTATTTTTTTAGGCGTCAAGACATTTACATTTGTTTCCTCTTTTTGTGCTGTTGTTTCTTCTTTCGGGTTTTCCACACTTTCCTCCGTAATCGCTTTCCTTCTTGGTATTAATATATTAACTTTAGGTGGTTCTTCTTTTTTTCTGGGAACTAAAATATTAACTTTTGAATTTACTTCTGACTTTTTAGCTTTTCTAGGCATTAAAACATTTACTTTGATATTTTCTTCAGGCTTTTTACTTTTTCTTGGAATTAAAATATTTACTTCAGGTTTATCTTCCTTTTTAGTAACTTCTTCAGAAGTAAGATCAATTTCTTGAATATTATTTTGAGTATCATTTTTAACATTGATTTCTTTAGGGACCAATCTATTGATTGTAGGTTCCTTGTTAGTAGAAGTTTTTGGTTGCTTGGCCCACTGCAAAAGAAAACTATTTTTCTTGCACTTGTCAGCTTCTTTTTCAGTATTTTCTACGGGTTTATCTTTATTGGATATATCGACGTTTTCATCCTCCTCCAGCTCCTCCACGCCACTAACATTTAAAGTATTTTCCTCTATGCATTCTTTCTCAGTGTAAGGAGTGCCTAACTCGCCGTGCTCGAAGGTGATCAAGGCGCAAAATCCATCGGTACTGCAAGCGGTCAGTAGTTGTCCATCCGGTGACCAGGACAAATCCGTTAACCGGGTGTAGTGGATTTGTTGGAGCCAAGCAAATGGCGCGTGCTGCTGCGTATCATAAAGGATTACGTCGTGATCGGTTGCTACGGCGATTATGATGCGATAGGGAAGCTTGATGTATGGCTCAGGACCTTTCTCATGCAACTCAAAGAGAACTGGAGAACATCTTATTACGGTGCTGCATTGCTTTTTCAATGGTAGAATGGCTGCCGGGCTGCAATTAATTAATTATTGTTAAAAAAATACAATTTTGTAAGAATTTAAATTCTGCAATGCATACATTATGCTATATATATTAGGGTGATTTATTTCCGCAAAGTTTTTGTTTTTTTTGGTGTCCAAGCAAAATATTAATCAGCATATAGAAAAAAAATTCTTACCAAGTTTGAGCTCTTAATATCAATTTTAAGTACTTACTAAACTGCGCACCACTCAATGTGTCGCGACCAAAAATTTCGTTCTTTTTCAAAACGACATAACTTTTTTGTTTCTTGAACGATTTAATTTTGGTCTGTGATGTCTGCTAGCCTCATCCTCTGGCAATTCATTCTATATATATGATTTGAGGTTGATAGATGAAGTATGATTTTGAATTAAACTGTCTTGGACTATCTTCATCTTTGATTATTTATAGCACAACGTTTCAATCAACTATCTGTGATCAAGTGTAGAATGATCAAATTTCTAAATGTAAAACTATATATACACGACTCTCTTTCGGTTTACTGATGCTTGTCTTTCGTGCTCCGATGATTTTTCCAGTGTTAAGTCGTTGATTTTATAGCCACTATGGAAGCCACTACTACCCTATTAAAAATGCCATATAGAAACACAAAATAAAAATCTATCTGGTTCAATATAGGAATTTGAAAGAGGCATTGCACTAATGAACCAGATAGAATTCCATAGCTGGAAAACCATATAGAAAAGTGATTTCTATATGGATTGCCATATAGGTTCATATTGCTCTATCTGGCCCAATATGGTTTGGGTGTGAAAAAAGTATTACCATATAGATCCATATTTAACCATATAGGGGAATCTATATGGTTTAATATGCAATTTTCGTTTAAATATATATACATTTTAAAATGGAATTCCATATTCAACCATATAGGGAAACCTATATGGAAAGACACATAAAACAGAAACCAGATAAATCCCAATCCCTAAGTTGTACATTTTAAAATGAAATTCCATATTAAACCATATAGATTCCAAAGTGTAAACCAGGTCGTTCCATATAGGACATATAGAACCATATAAATCCATATTAGTTTCCTTATCTGGATCAATATGGGTTCTATAGGGCATTTTTAATAGGGTACATAAAATCAACGAGTTAACACTGGAAAAATCATCGGAGCATGAAAGACAAGCATCAGTGAACCAAAAACATGAGTCAGTAAACCGAAACGGAGTCGTATATATATAGTTTTACATTTAGAAATTTGATCATTCTACACTTGATAACGATCACAGATAGTTGATTGAAACGTTGTGCTATAAAAGAATCAAAGATGAAGATAGTCCAAGACAGTTTAATTCTATAGATATGAAGCTTACGGTTCATCAAGTAAATTTCCTACAGGGTGATATGTTAAACGGTGAAAAATTTCAATAACTTCCTCCAAGCCCCGTTTGTAAAAAATAATTTTTTTCTCGTTTTTACTTTGAAATAATGAAGTAATATGTGTTACCTTGAAACTATTTTCAAATTATTCGAATTGGAATTGGAAAGAGTACATTTAATGCTTTTTGTAGGCAATACACTAAGCCTTTTTAAGAACAAGAAGATAAGATGGTGAAATATTGTTCCTTGAATAATTCTTAACGCAAATACCACTTTTCTTAAAGCAAATACCACTTTTTTAAAATTACATTTTGGTGAAAATTTCTGAAAACTAAACCTGAACCGATATTTACGTTCGTGACATATTTTCTTCATAATTTTGACCTGATTGTAATTCAGTTGTCAAATTTAAGTTTCAGATAAAACCAAAATCACCAAGAATAAAAATTCGAAAACAATTCCCCGGCTGTTAAATGTTTCAAAAAAATCCGATTGCTCGTTTTCACTGTATTTTTACTGTGTTTTGCATCTTAATACGTTATTATTATGTCGCTGAATGATCAAATCGAGGATCAAATGATGAAAATTAGTTCTTGAAAAACATTCAAAACGCATTATGAGGGATATTCTTGTTTTTTTCAGTTTGCTTGTGTTTTTTCAAATATCCAAGTTTTTTTTGCATAAGTTATACCTACCTACTAACATACCTACACCCATCTTACCCAGGTTACTTCCATGGAAGAATGCATTCTTCCTTTAAGAGATTGAAATGCCATTGCCAGACTTTGCTGCAGCTACGAGACTTCACATCTCAAAATCAACGGTTCGCAGAAGATTGCACGAAACAAGGAGGCAAGGGTGGCTTTTGGAGGTGAAGGAGTGACTGTTTGGGGTGGAATGGCAAGAGTGAATTAGTTATGAATGCTAAGAGATATAGAGATTTGTGTGTTAGTGGTCCCTTAAGCTCAAAATGTTGACAATAATTTGGTTTTGGTGGACGACAATGCCCGTCGGCACCGCGCCAATATCGTAAATGAGTATTTAAGGGACCTCGATATTGAGAGAACGAATTGGCCACCTTTGTCTCCGGATATGAATCCTATTGAGCATGTGTGGAGCAGGATGAAACTGAAGATGACAGAGAGGGAAGGACGCATGGAAAATTTGGATGAATTGGTAAATGCTATTCAGAAAGAATGAGAAGCCATAAGGAACTTGGTCGAGGGAATGCGCAGGAGGGTTAACGAATTATTACGGGTTAGGGAAGGGCCAACGAAATATTAAAATTATTATTGTTATTGTTTGTTAAATTTAACTGTTAAATATTGTATGTAGTTTTGATTATGATTATTTTTTCATATACAATTTTTAAAAATGAACACAAATATTTGTATTTAACTTTATTACGAATTAGGTAGGTACTTTTCAGTAATAAGTTATCACTAGTGCGCAATGTAAATGTAAGTTATGTAACATTTTCCTAACCACTCAAACAAACTGCAGTAATTTCGCCCAAAAATGAATCCTCAAATGGCATTGGCAATGGCAAGTTATTGAGACATTTAACAGCCGGGAATTGTTTTCGAATTTTGATTCTTAGTGATTTTGGTTTTATCAAACTTAAATTTGACAACTGAATCACAATCAGGAGGTCAAAATTATAAAGAAAACATGTCACGAACGTAAATATCGGTTCAGGTTTAGTTTTCGCAAATTTATACCAAAATGTCATTTTGAAAAAGTGGTCTTTCCTTGGGCCCCTCTGAAAATAATGGAAGTTTTTTGCTTGTTGCTTGTGCAGAATTATTTTAGAAACAATCTTTTACAATCTTATCTCCTTGTTCTTAAAAATACGAGTGTATTGCCTACCAAAAATCCTCAAATGTACTCTTTTGAAAAAAAAATCATATTTTCGTTGCTAAGATTCCAATTCGAAAAATTTGAAAATATTTTCAAGATAAGGCTTAATACTTTATTATTTTAAAGTAAAAACGAGAAAAAATATTTTTTTTTTTACAAACGGGGCTTGAATGAAGTTATTGAAATTATTCACCGTTTTACATATCACCCTGTAGGAAATTTACTTGAAGAACCTTAAGCTTCATATATATAGCATGAGTTGCCAGAGGATGGGGCTAGCAGACATCACAGACCAAATTTTTGGTCGCGATACATTGAGTGGTGCGCAGTTTATTTAAATTTAAAGTTATACCGTATAAAATGCATGTAAAAAATATTCTTTTTTTCAAATTTCTAATGCTACCCACCTTATACAATATTGCAAATCGGTTTGATGGACAAAATTGCTTTGAAGTTTTTTTGTGTAACTCGAATTGTTTCATCCGTAGTCGTCAAAGTACAGTTAAAAAAAATGGTTTTTTTTTTTAATATTTTTGAGCAAACCGCCAAAAGTAGGGAGGAAAAAAGGCTGACTCATAAAAAACGTTACAAAGCCATTTTTATAACTGAAAACGTAAGAAATTAATAAATACCAACTCATAATGTTATTTGGATTGATTTATCTATTTATTATCATTATATTTCCCTACACTAAGAACTTTTTTTAAATTATTATGATTTCTCACTCATAATGAATATGAAAATAACACATAAATTCCTAAAAAGACAACAAGAATAAAATTGTAACGTGGATTTTGCAATTTTTCAACATTTCTGTCATATATGGGATATTCTTATAATAGGAGCAATCTTAAGTATAAGAAATTTAAAAATAAAACAGTTACAGAAAATTTTGAAAAACTACTGTTTTATAAGAAACGAATAAAGTTTATAAAATGATGAGTCTGTTGAGCTCAATTTTTAATTTTGGGGCTTTTTCAAAAATCCATATCCACGCCAATGACTAAGAGGCACGCTAATGACAGTTTTCATTGAATAATGAAACAAAATATATTTTTAATATTTATTTATAAGTAAACATTGGTTACAAAAAAAATTAATGAATTAAGCATATTTTATCAATTTCCTCGGAGTTTGGTACTTTAAAAAATCTATTTGAAATTGGCTGTGGTGGCAAATCAAGTTTACATAATATACCAGCTTCTGTAAATATTTACCACTTCTTGCCATAAAGGTAATAGTTATGTTTTCTCCATTTATATCCTCAATTATTCCTAAAAATAATTTACCTCAGTACTCGATATTAATAAAAAAAAGGAGACATACCTGGATACCATGTCTTTGTAAATTGCAGCTACCCATTGTAAATGTAATGCTACTTGCCGGTTTATGTAGATATTAAACCTGCAGGTTCATGAACAGGAGATGGCACTAAAACCCGGTTTTTCAAAAGTGGACTTACGTCTTTTGCGAATTAGGGTAACGATATTAAATTTTATCCGAAATTGCATTTAATAATTATAAATTATTTACCTTTTTAAACAGTAGACACCTACTGCATTAAAATTTGAATCGAATGTCATTTGAATGTAGTGTCCATGGTATACTGTTTGTTGCGATGGTTATGACAAAGATAATATATTATCTTATATTATATTATATATTATATTATTATATTATACAAGGTGTCGCTAAACTTAGTGGCATAAATTTAGGAGCAGATTAAGCAAGTCAAAATAAGACGAAAATCTAAATAAATATTTTTCCTAATTACGTATGTT